GAAGTGAGGTGTGTCTGCAGTATGGCCGACAAGAGGCATTTCTGAGAACAGCTGCGTCATGCATTAGTTTTGATCTGAACTGTACCGTGTTCACTTTCCTCATAAAACCATAATCTTAAGTATTGTTATGAGTTCTATGTGGCCATTGCAGTGGATCATCAAACCCAAATATGAAGCAGAAAGCGCTGTGGGAGGAACAGTTGGCGAGTTAAGAAGGTTATAGGGTGGAGGCATATCTGACATCCTCTTCATAGGAATTGGTCTTGAGTAGATTTTGTATTTGATTCTCTTTCCCTCTTGTGAAGTCAGAGGAAATCAGGCATGGGAACATGTGGTTTTTATAACACTGGACTGCTAACTTCAAGTCAGCAGTTCAAACTCCCCAGCTGCTCCTTGGAAGCCCTATACAGGATTGCTATGAGTCTGAAACTGAATTGATGGCATTTAGCAACAACAATATAGTAGGATATCAGGAACCTTGGTAGCATAGTGGGTCATGCATTTGGCTGCTAACCCCAAGATCAGCAGTTGAATCTTCCAATCACTCCGCAGAAGAAAGATGGGGTTTTCTGCTCCTTTGAAACCCTATGCATGATCATTACGAGTCAGAACCGACTAGACAACACACCACCACCATCATGGACATGGGAGCTTGATGGCTCTGTAGGGTAAGCACCAGACTGAAAATCACAAGCTCTGCAGTTTGAAGCCACCAGCTGTTTTGCAGGGGAAAGATGAGGCTTTCTGCTCCAACAAAATAGGAACCTATGAGTCAGATCTAACTAGACAGCATATAACAATAATAATAGTAGGCTATAGAACATTGTCATTGTGGACTGTTGCTGTTAAGTACCGTTGAGTTGGTTCTAACTCAAAGTGATTCTGTATAGGGTTTCTGAGGAGTGATTTGGTGAGTTTAAACCATCAACTTTTTTGGTTTAAACTGACCTTATAGTCCAGTGCTTTATCCCACAGTGCCACATCAGGGCACACGCAAATGAACTTGGACCAGAACTTCCTTAAATGCCTGCCTTCCATGTGCCCTCACTATACCTGGGGACCACAGTGACAATTTGGGTTTCTGCATATCGATATCAGTTCAGATCATGCCTCTGACAACTTTTGAAAGCTCTGGGCATTCAATCGCGCTTAGTGTCCAGCTACTCAGGTAAATGGCCATAGACCCTCTAGGGAAAAACCAGGGAAAGTACTTTCATATATGAGGGGTCTTCAAAAAATTAGGAATCTGTTTCAGATTCCTTAGAGTTTCAGTCTTGGGTAGGGGTTTGT